AATAAGAAAAAAAATAATAATAACTAGAGCCGAGCTCGTTGCAAAGCAACGAGTAGGTCTTCCGTCCTGTTTGAATGAAAGTTAAGTTTCGTTTAAAAAAAAGTAATGAATTCCAAAAGTGGTTTAATCCTCCAAATCTATGTTAGTTATTGCAATATGATGCCCATTTTAGCAACTTCCAGTTTGACCGGAAGTACAGTCAACGGATGAAAAATTAAGAGTTAAGCTTCCAGTGACATATGATATCCCAAAACCTGTCACGAACAGCAAAAATATGCAATTTTTACTACTTCCGGTCAAACCGGAAGTGACGTCTCTGAATGTATTTTAATGACTTCATTAGATTAAGCTTGACATGTTGAACAACTTTGCTTCTTTGATGTGTTACAAAATCTCAATACTTTTTGAGATATAAAGAAAAATCTTTCGTCCCCTCTAGGCCCTTAATTTTAGGGGCCATCCCTTTTTTCGAGATATCAGTTGAAAGATCTTGAGATTCTACACTTATTTTGTTCTATATCTTTTAACAAAATATTTCCAGGTAAAGAGATATTGACAAAAGGTGTCAAAAATTTTGAAATTCGCGATAGGACTTTTTTCGGGCCACAGCGAGCGCCGACGTGCAGCATTTCCGTTAAATATGAAATACAATCTACAAATCTACAGACATAGGTCTACTATACCTGAAAGTATTACGTGTCTATCAAAAACCGTTGAGAAATCGTGCGGACAGAATGACCCTTTAAAAAACATTAAAGTGCTAATAACTCAAAACGAAAAAAAAACGCATATGGTTCAAGTGTTGTAACATTAGTCCGGAAAGTTTCATGGAAATCCATCGAGCCGTTTTCGAGATACTGCGTGCACAAAATCGGTAAGAAAAAAAACAATAATAATAACTAGATCCGTTTTCAGGAAAATTTTAATGAAAATAGAAATTCTACTTTGTTGTAATTTTGTTCTAATTTTTGAACTCAGTCTATTTGAATCCACTTTTTAAATATATGTACCAAATTTGATAATTTCATGACATTAATTAAAATAAAGTTATGCCAAAATAAAGTCTACGAACTTTTTGAATGACCCTCCTACATATTGGTCTATAATTTAGCTTTTTTTAAAATTCTAAAATGCTGACAAATTAGTAAGTTAAATGTGCACATTCATTGTCTTCTCCTTGTTGTAAACTGAAACAGATCATTCTAAGTACTAGTATAACAAGCAATTGTACAGTTCTATGTCACTGTATATGTATATTATTCAAAGGAAGTTTTTAACCTGTAAGGAGAAAGGAGAGACATTTAATGAAATTGATATTTGGATAAGTGAATAAAATATTTCTTATTATTAATGGACTTCTACGAGGAGCGCTGACTTTTACAGTTGACGCTTACTTTTACACTAGGGCTATGTACGGTAGCTCCCTTACGATATAAATATTTAGCTCAACATTTAATTAAACGGAAATAACGGTTATTTCAATGCACATATAAGTTGTCCTTGAAGAAAACGACAATGACCCTACCCTCAGCTCCCGGACTTCACAAGTTAGTGCCCCTAACACCTTACCTATGACCACTAGAAAAGTTTTCTTATGCATTATCAATCCTGTACTTCCGTACATGATACAAGTTTAAATGTCCAAGTAAACGTCATGCAACTGTAGAAATCAGTGCTTCTCGTAAAAGTCCATTATGCAATCTAATTCCAAAGTAACTTTAAAAGTGTTTGGCATACTGTAAGCCTGTAGAATAAACTGTCAGTAGAATCTAAAACATAGTTGTTGGAATGGTTCTGTATGAATAAAAAGATGAATTTCCTCGGTCTTGGACTGGATTTCAGCTTGTTTATTTATGACTGTGCGTTCAATACGATATCTAATCACTTTCAATTTAAAGGGTCGGAAATATTAATACATTCATAACTACCGTATAGCATGTATTTTTCACGTGCTGCTAATTTGTACTAATTTTTAGAGTTTTATAAATCCGTAAAATTTAAACGCGTTATATATCAAGGAAGTAAAAAAACGCCTCGTCTACATTTTAACATCGTATTATGAGAGTATTTTAATGTTATTACTGTCACTGTTCCGAGTACGGGGAGGGGGGGTATAGAATTAGTACCGAAAACCGTTGGTATTTTTGAGGAATTTAACCTTAAAGGTACTTGGACACAGATTTTAAGTTAATATTTTCTCATTTTTTTCTGTATAATATCACGTATTATTATTTTAATAGCATTTGACATCAAAAATAATTAGAAATCTTGTTTCATTTAAAAGTTATTAAAACTTTAATTTTTTTGGCGGGTTTGTTTGAGACATCCTAGCGCTTTCACAAATTTTAATTTTATTCTTAATCCGTAGAAAAAGTGGCAATTTTGATGTGTTTTAATGAAAAATATTAAAATTAATATTTTATTCAGAGTAGAAATGTAAGAAAGAAAAACAACTTCACAGAGTAGAAATGTAAGAAAGAAAAACAACTTCACAAGTATCGTCATTCCGAACTAACAGTTGCGTACAGAGTTTAACAAATCGAGCACACTCGTGTTATGTACACAGCGTTTGTATCAACAGGGCTCGAGTTCTGTTATTGTTTATTTTTAGAATTCACCAGGTGCGTTCAATCGTCACAGTCTGCTTAGCACAACCTCACGGACTGACAATATTTTGTGTGTTTGTTTTGCTTTCGAACGTGTCTACTTTGAATTTTCTGGATTATAGTATTAATATTTTTCATTTATACAAAACGAGATTGCCACTTTTCCTAAGGATTAAGAATAAAATTAAATTTGTGAGAGTGCAAGGATATGTCAATCAAACCCGTTGAAAAGTTTGAAATTTAATATCGTTTCAACGAAATAAGATTTTTAATTAAAGCCGCTTAGTCCGAAACAGGCACATACTATCTTACACTACAAAAGTACGTCATTACATAGATAATATATAAAAATAAAGTATACGATTGATTTCATAGTTTATTACATCAGTCCTTACATGGAAAACGTAGATCAAAAACCTTATTGACAAACAAAAGTTTCTAGCAGGAAGTTAAGATCGTTGTGAAGTCAATTTTTGTAAAAAATAAATTTATCGGTTATATCCAATAATGATAATAATCCGAACTCGAGTATTTTTTCATTAGAAGAAGCCTAATTCATAAAAATGCTCGGGTTTGTTCTTCACGAGATATACATGTAAGCGATAAATGAAATTTGTCGAAGGTGATTTACCACAAGATATCAACAAAGGATTTTTTCTTGTGTGACCTAACAAAATTTTTTTTTAACTTTTGAATTTTGATATCTTTTAAAAGAAAAAGACTTTGGGGATATAATTTACCAAAAGTTGATACAATTTATGGACAATTATTTTTATAGAAGAAAAAGGAAAATAATTTTTAGCAAAAATAATCGGATCAAGCGGCTTTAATGATTGTGTGAAATTATACCTATCAAAATATATGTCATAATATAATAAAGAAAATAAGATCTTCAAATCTGTGTCCAAGTACATTTAACGGCTTGCACGAACTGTAAACATTGTCAATTACCCGGTTACTTATAGGAACGCATAATTTCTGACAATGGCTTAATTATTGTAGACTGGAATCTTCAAATTATATCCATTTTTGATCGTTAATTTCTTCTTTTTAATTTGCTTTCTATATAAACTTCGACATTTTCAACATTGTAATCTGCGTCCCATGTAAATCTTTGAAACTTGATCATGATAGTTTAAGTTGTCTCTTTCTGTTTCGTTTAAAATCAAGATGGGTACACGGTGCGCAACAATAATTATTCAAGACAACGGGAATAAATGCAGGGCATGTGATATACAATGTATTTAAATGAATATATAAACATATCATCATTTAATAAATCGACACTCGTTATCATGGAACAATTTTATTCTGAATTTTACCTGGTTCGTCCAGACACATTTAAAACATGTATTTGTATGTTAAGGCATTCAAATTGATAAATTTCACCTCCGATGATTTCAATTTTTACGGACATGCTTAATTTGTAAAGTTTTAAAGCGTGAAAAAATTAAATCACCCTGTTTCAACCGAAATTCGTAAAATTATCCGTTATACGGGTATGACTTTATTTTAGTCAAATCACACATTCAATTTTTAATTTGATATTTACAAGCTTCAATATTAGCATCTTTTACAAGTACAAGTCTATGACGTCATTTCTGTCAGTACAGCGCTATAATGGTGGTTTTAATTGTACATTCAAATAATGACAAGATAAGTTACAAATTGATTTAAATTTACAATATTTAAGAAAAATGATTGCAGGTTAGAACAAATGAAAAAGAAAATTGTTTTTTTTTTCTCCAAGATTCATTTGCACAGTTTTAACATGACGTCATAGCTGAATTCTTGAAGCTGTGCATAAGATGAGATACCTTAAGGAGTCATTAATAAGCTAGCTTTGCAGTTAACATCAAGATTTTTCTAACTACTTTAAGTTTCTTATTGTCTTAAAGAATTATATGGACAAACTTGTAAAAGAGAACAAAATAAGTTTAGACTATCATCACTTTACTTTTATAACGAACGCAAGTAGTTTGTCGTACATGAAATTGAAATTCAATCTGCGACAAATGCAATGGTAAAAGGCATATCCAATTTACCTGTACATTTTTCAAGACAATTGTCTGCAAATGAAATGATACAGGTCTATCAATTTAAAGGTAAACGCCTAATCTTTATTTTCATCTTAAGTTCTTTTATATGTACATATATTCCTTTGTAAAATATTGTTCTATCGTACAGAATATAGTTTAACTACATACTTTCTTTTCCGGATTTTTATTCTCATAAGTAAACTTCAAGATTTTGATCAGTAGATAAAATTATCCTGGAAAGAAAAAAATCTAAAAACTTTTTTTACATACACACACTCTGTCTCACTCATTGTACATGTTAAAAATAAAATCCCAGGGTCTTTAAAAATATTTTATTCAAAGGGAAAACCTTCTTCTAGGTTAAAAGTTTAAGAATCACAGCATCATGGTAGCTATAATATGTTGGAAGCTTCGAGACCTCTACCTGTATGTGTCCAGACACATATACGTGGTCTAATATAGTACCCCTTTCTGTAGTGCAAAAATTAAAAACTTGTCTAAAACCAAGGTTACTCATGAATGTTTGAATGGGACCTCCAGATTTCGCATCTTCATTAAAATCTCCATGAAAAATGATATGTTTGTTGCATTTTCTGTAGAATTCAATGATGTTTTGGAGGCGATCAAGAAATTGGGGAACACTTAGAGTATTTGGTCGATAAATGGTAACAATTAAGACATCATGTTTAATCATTGTCACTGCAATTCCTTCAACATTTCTGACGGGAAGAGAACTAACTATCTTCTGAATTTCATTATCTTTGGTATACAGTGCTACTCCCCCACCCCTTGCAAGGCGGTGTTTTTGTGTTTGATCGTTAGTGTTGTCATATAGATCTTCTCTCGCTTTGTGATGAAATCTGTAGTCTTCAATATCGAAATAGGCTGTATTTTGTTCTGATCGTAGCCAAGTTTCTGTCAAGCAGATGATTTCCGCATCTCTGAATCGGATATCATGTTCAAAATCCGGAACGTGGCCTTGTAAACTCTGAATGTTGTGCAGAATAATTGTGTTGCACTCTGATGAGTTCAAGGGATATGCTTGAAGATGTAATTTTGTCATTTCACCCAAGGCTGTTTTCACTCCTGAATCAGCATATATTTTTTTAAGTAACCCGTTTTCATTCTCGGTTTCTATAAATAACCCTAGCTGAGATGTCACTCTTGACAAGGCAACATAGGCTTGTCCTGGTGAAAACGTACGATCTAAATTCACAACTACTTTTTCCACAGTCATTCCCTGTACTTTATGAGCTGTGCAGGCCCATGCTAACCGCAAAGGAAACTGATGCCTTATGACTGTTCTCGGTTTCTTTTCGATCATCTCTTCTTGAACCCTTTCAATTAAAACAACATTTCCCTTCTGCGTTTTTCTCCCTGATTGTTTTCCAACATTCTTGTTGTCAAATATCACTCCAATACCTACAACATTCGATGTGTTTTCACCATACTGGAAATGTGTTATATATCCCACAACACCATTCACAAGCCCATCTTTTACATCACAATTTCTTGTAAGCATTACCCTTGCGTTTACAGCAAGTAGCAAAGAACTTCCAAGACTGTCAGTTTTTGATCCTTTGAGTGGTTTCTCTCTCAATGTAAGTTTTCCTGTTGTCGCATTTTTTTGATAGTCCTGTGCATCAATTTCCACAAGATCTTCACATGATTTCCTTATCATTGTTACATTGTAACTATTTACTTCTTCATTTGTAGAGAACACATGCAGAACGTCTTCGGGTCCTTCTCTGATACAATTAGATATGATCAACTGTGTTTCATTCTCTATAGCCTGATCAGATTCCCTAATTCGCAAATTATTCAAAGCAGTTGCAAACGGTACATCTTCACGTTGCCTCATAATTTCACTTAGTTCAATGACTTTGAAGAAATCCCTCCAAAAGTCTACTGGATATGAAGTGTTCTCTTTGTATAATCTCTCATCTTTGCGTTGCTTCACAGGAGGGAGTTGATAAAAGTCGCCAACTGCAATTACACTCACACCACCAAATGGCTGTTTACACTTCTTTATTTGTACTAGTCTCTCGTGAATGTAGAAAAGAAGTTTTTTGTAGACCATTGATACTTCATCTATCACAAGAATCTGCAAATCTCTCAGTTGCACTCTTAACTCACTTAGACTCTGTTCTTTCAATGGTTGGTATGGCAATGGCAAATATTTTGTCAAGGCAAATACGTGATGTAAAGTGCTTCCACCTATATTGAATGCAGCTGTTCCTGTGAAAGCTGTAAGAAGTACTGGTACACCATCTGGCGAGAATAGGCTTGGAGCAAATAATCTGGATGCCTCATAATGTATTGCCTTGACAACATGACTTTTTCCTGTACCTGCACCTCCTGTTATAAAAATGTGCAGTGGATCTGGCTTCTCTCCAGCGATTTTTGCTACACACCAGTTTCTAACGTGATAAAATATATCCTTCTGTCTTTCATTTAAATTTTGCAAGACCGGTAGGATATCTTCCCTTGAATGACAATTCTGCTGAATATGATACAGCACATCGGAATTTGTCTCATTTTGCATGTCAGGTATTTCTTCTGCAACATTTTCAAGTAAGCTATCAACTTTATCTTTCTCGACAGCACATTCATCTCTCATCATTTCTGTTTCTGGACAGAGATTTGCCCATGCGTCTTCAGGTTCACCAATATTTTCGAACGTCTCCATAGCCACTGCTATCACTTCTTCATTTGCTGCATACCGAGCATGATTCATGTCCACGAGTGATTTAACCGACTGGACCCTTTGATTACCTTTTATTTTTATGTGCCCATTTGCATAAAACTCTTCGTACAAATCAAACCCTGGTGGTTTCAGCTGTGCTTCATTCCAATGTGGTAAGAAAAGCTGGAGTAGCGACTGGTAATATTTCTCAGATGTCTTATCTGCATTGAATCTTGGATACCTAATTATAGCTGGCATTGTACGTGTTCTTTTCTGGATATATCCCTTTGCGTTTTGCAGCTCAAACACATTTTTGTTCTCATTTTTCGGAACCTGGGACTTTGCTAAGACTCTGAATTCAGAACAGAATTCTGCCAAACACATTTTGTGAAAAAGTATTTTGTTTGGTCGATTTTCGTACCTCTCTATTATATTTGTCATCCAAATGTCATTGTCATCTTCATCCACATCCTCGTTATCGTCATGACTTTCTCTTTTTTGCCTTTTGAGCTGAGAGAGTGGTTTACTTAATCGAGTAGGATTTTCTCCAACAGGCACGAAAACTACTTTTCTTGAACATTCTTTCATTTTTAAATTGCAAACACGGTATACTGCCTCTTGCACGCTGACTTCTCTGTGATGTAAATAAGCAGATCCGATTCTCTTTAAAGTTTGATGTGCATCAAGATTTCCTTCTTCTGCCTCTATCTTTGTTTGCTTGAGTAGCATACCCATTTCCCTTTCAGACTTGGAAATGTACGAGATTATGTATACAATGCAACTGAAAGGATCTAACACAAACTGAATATCCATATTAGCATCCCAACATTTCAAGAGGCATGGGTTATACTGATTAATCCAAAGTTCACTGGGATTTCTTTTTAGAATAATGGATTTTTTTTTCGCCAATATGTTGTATGCTTCTTCATACATTTCCTGAGTCAAAGAAATTTTACAGAAAATTTCCTCAGTAGATTTTAACTCATTTGACTCATTTTGTACTTCATTCCAAACAGCCATTAATATGTCTTTCGCTCGGGATTTGCCTATATTTGATAGCTTTGTCTGTTCAGGGTTCTCCTTCTTGTCATCTTCGTCACATGGTGAGCTAATGAACGTGCACCGAGAAGGTGGTCTTGGATAGTTAAATCTACATTCTGTTCCTTTCTTTCTGCACGATTTTGAGTGTTTCTTACTGTGTTGTTGTACTGCTAGGACTGTGTTTCGCAAGACGGGGTCATCTTTCTCTGAAGGCACTTCACACGTTACGTGCTTATCGATGAAATCACAAACAGCTTTCTCTCCATGTTCTTCAAGTCTAGGTGCATTTTCAACCCAGTATAAACAGTGCATGTGGGGTGATCCCCTCTGTTGGAATTCGACTCTTTGAAAATAATCAACAATTTTTCCAATTGGAATCGATGGAGAACAAACAACATCTCTATGGAAGACATGGAATCTGTGTTCAAACATCCTTGCAACTGTTACTGGGTTACTCCTTAATGTTTCGTTCTTTTCTGACCAGTCCAGTGTATTTGGATCTCTATTATCATTCTGTTGCTTCAAAATTGTTCTAATTGCATCATTCCATCTATGCTCTGCAGCAGAAAAAGAGCAAAACCATGTAGGTATTCCTAACTGGCGGAGCATAGCAAAGAGATCCTTCTGTGCACAAGACCAGTATGCTGGTGTTCCACGAATTGGTTGCATGAACCTTAGTGCTTCATCCTTCTGTAGTAACGTACGGAGTATTTCTGGATCTTGTACCATGTCTGACGTAACCAACTTCCCCGTCCCAAATTTTGAAACAGACTTTCTAATAGAAATTTGAGTTTTCTCTATAACTTGATTTAATTCTGACATATACTGACTAAAGAAGATGTAATTGCTATCTTTCGCAAATCTATCATCCGCATTCATGAGTCTGTTGTTGAAATATCTAGCTAATGTAATTCTTGTTGCTCTCTCCTCATTCCATGAAAATTTTCCAGTTGGGAAGTGACAGGGAAATGTTTTAGCTTCATTGCCTGGTTCTTGTAACATTCGAACTGGGTTTTTACCTTCACCGGGTGCAATATTGTAAATATCATCAAAATAATGGTCAAGAACTTCTTGTGCAATATCAACAGGTTGTAGGCAAGTATCAATAGCAACCTGTTGAATTTCATCACTCTCATCGTCTGCTGCCTTCTCTTGTTCCTGTCCCTCATCTTTGAAGTCCTCATCATCTGTGTAGTCTTTTCCCCAGTCTGTATCTATTCTTACAGTTTTGTACCACTGATTGTTTTTCTTTAAGTAATTTAAAGCTGTAAAAACATGGTTTGGGTTTACAAACTGGTACTCAAAATAACCACGATAATTTAACTTTCTTTTCAGTTTCACTCTCAACAACAAATCATCTCCATGCTTAAGTGGTAAGCTTGCAGCCCTTTTCATATCCGATGGCACACACACAACAGGCCCATGTATATTTCTCTGGCCACCCTGTGGAAGAGCCATGACCTTCATAAATGGGATGTGTAAGGCAATAAGATGTTGTTCTAAACTGTTTAAGTCTTTAAGTTCCCTTGGAATATCTTCCAAAAACATATTATTGACGGTTGCCTCTGCTGGGATGTTGCCACTCAGAATCTTTCTATGACATGTATAACATATCCATAGGGTAGACTTCGAGCAATCTTCTGAGCAAGATTCTGTGCATTGGTGCAAACAATTTTCCTGAATACACAAGTCTGCAATATGTGCAGCAAGTTCACTCTTTTGATATATCCGTCGATCACATTTCTGAACCTGATTAACAAATAACAATCGATTGCAGCAGCAGCATGTAAAATCGATGCCTTTGAATGTGTTTTCCTTAAATAATTCCAATACCTCTTCTTCCTTTTGCAACTTTGCTCGCCTTGCAGTTCTTTGCAAATTGACTGTCTTTTTCTTCATTTTTTTAGCATCAGAACTGGCGTTATATGATTTTTTACTGCGTGCCTTGGCATTTGATCTGAATGCAACATCAACTGAGTATCTGTTTGCCCTTGATGCAAGAACCCTTTTCCTGAAAGTCTCATTTGCTCTATATCTCTTTGTTCCAGCACTATTAACTTTATTCCTGTATTCCTCATTAGAACGGTGCTTTTCTAGCGCTCTACGTTTCACATCCATCCTATGTTGTTCATCATTTTTGTATTTTTCAGTGCTCCATTTTTTGACTTGTTTTCTGTGTTCTTCGTCAATTTCGTATTTTTTGATACTCTTCCTTTTGGCCTCATTTCTGAATGTAGCGTCTGTACTGTACTTTTTCACGCTTCTCCTTTTCACGTCCTCTTTATGTTTATCATCTGACTTATATTTCATGATGCTTCTGGTCTTTATATTCTCTCGATGCACATTGTCAGTCTTGTACTTTTGAGTACTTCTCATCTTCACATTTTCTTTATGGGCTTTATTTGTTGCATATTTTTTTACACTTGCCTGCTTCTTCTTTTCTCTGTTTTCCACATTGCCTTCATAAATATTCTTACATCTTGATTTAGTTTTGCTATTATACAAAGGGTCATTCCTATATCTCTCTTTATTCCGTGTTTTCACGAGAGTTTGAAATTCGTTATCCTCTTTGTACTTCCTATATGCAATATTTAATTTTTTATTTCTGAATTCCAAGTCTTCACGATATTTTCTTCTTAAGGACTGTCTTCGTGTACTGGCAGCACTGTCTTTCTTAATCATCTTCGAAGGATCGATTCTTTTGGTTTGCATTCTTTCACGGTTTTGCCTTTTCTTCATATAATTCAGATCAAAGGAACTGGATTGCAATACAGGTGTATTAACCGTTTCTAATTCTCGTCCACAAACATCAAGAGCAACATCATAATGATTTTGGTGATTATGACACAAGTAAATAGCACCTAATCTCCTTTCTGTCAGGCTAACACCAACTCTCTCTGCTGAAAACTTTAACCAACGATTGTTAGAAAATGTGTAGATATCAACACCTAGTAAGTGAGACATGGCTTCAATTTCTACTTCAGTTGCCCATGTTCCAGTGTTTTCCATTGACGACAATAAGACATGATCTTTAACAGATCTTACACCAGCTCTTAAAAATGACTGGAAATAGTCTTCATTTTCAAGCAGATGTTTACATACTGCATTGCGTAGGTCATAATGATAATCCTCTGAATTTGTTAAACTAAAGGACACTGCCCTAAAAAAACAATTGCCATCTCCAGAAATTTTATGCTCTTCACAAGGTTTTCCCAATTCCTTTTCAAATGGCTGATTTTCAAGAGGGAAACCAAAACACAAGAAGGGAATATTTAAATTGTCACATATTTCTCTCTTTGTGTCAGAAATAAGAGGAACAAAATTGAACTGCTCATCTTCACTTGAGACAAAAATTAAATCATCATGTTCGATTCCTGCATCAGAACCTGTAATTTGTGATGGAAATGAATTCCTGGATGATTCATCAGAAGGAAGTGTTCCAGAACCGATATCCTCTTGTTTTTGTTCAAATTGAGATCTGGTCTCTGAAACACAATTCATTTTGCAATGAACTCCAGTCAAATTACATTCAACATTTCTAATATATCCCATGGATCTAGCTAGAGCCTGTAAATATAGGCATACTTCATCTGTATTGGCAAACAGTACTCGCGTGCTCTTGCCACTTACACTTAATAATCCTTCAGAAGACCTGGAATGTGAATCAAATGTAAAGAAACCATCTTCTGTTTTCCCAATTAGTAATGTGTTTCCCCCAAAGCAAACAAAGCATCCATCAGTACCTGTAACAGCAAGTTGTACTGCTTCCTTCAAACAATATACTCCAAAATCAGAATAGTCAAAACCTTCTTCTGACAAAATGACACTTGTTAATGTTCTCTGCGTTTTAAAATCATATGATCGATCAAAGCATTCAAATAGCTGGGGTAAATCTTCTACAAGCAAGTATCTATTAGTAATTGATGAACTTCTTTGAAGATAAGTATACAATTCATCACCAGTTACCAAAATCTTGTTCATGTCCATTGTTTTCCAATACTTGCTACTTTTTGCTTTGTGATAAGATAATCCAGCTAGACAATTTGCCACACACTGAGATCCAGCATTAGCTCCAAACATTGGATCGCCTTGATGAAAAGAACCCTGCACATAAATAAGACACTTTGATTTTGATTCCCCACTTGCCTTTTGCTCTTCATTATCATTAAGCGTATCGAATGATGTGATTTGTTCAGATGAAACATTTTCGTTCTCCATTTTCGGTTTCTTACTCTTAAAAGTATCCACACCTTTACCCTTTTGCCAGTCACATAAGTTATATAGATTCTCATTCATTTTCTTGTCATATGTACATTGCTTCTCAAATAGCTCACTTTCAAGCCTTTCAAATATGTTTTGTCTGATCATATTCTTTTCTCTTTCATATAAATTTCTTTGTGTATTATGAGTATTTTCCAATTTCTCTTGTTTTTCACATTTGTCCATTACAATTTCATTATTTTGTCTTTCACACATAACATCTTGTTTCTCTGACTTGATATTCCCTTTAAGAACTGTAAAATTTCCATTTGAGACACGTTCATATTTCATTTCTTTGATACCGTCTTTAATACTTTCTTTGATACTGTCTTTAATACACTCTTTGATACTGTCTTTATAGCCCACATCTTTTTTTAGTGTACTGCTGGTCTCCTCCATCCTGGAGGTATCCAGCTGTGTCTGACCTGCTGGGCTAGGCTTAATGCCATCATCGTGCCCAGGTACTCTCGCTGGAGTACAAACCCACGCTGGGGAGTCAGGGGACAGTGCCAACGCCCCGTTTTGGGCATTCAGACGACTTCCCCGAGGAGGTGACAACCTCGGGGCATTTGAGTGCATTTTCACTCGAGGTGAGGCCTGCACCCTGGCCAGGGGTTTTTCCTCATAAGGCGGCAACCCCATAGAGCCTTGCCCCGGAAGATTACCGGGAGGAGCTGACACAGCTCCATCCAGTGTTCCGCAAGGAACAAAGGAATCTGCCACAGGCTCATCAGATAAAACTTCCTTGGACGACTGACACTTCTCCTGTCTTTTCTGCCTTTTCCGTAATTTGTCTTTCTCTCGACGTTCTCTGCCAACAATTTTTTTTCTCTTAGGCATCTATAATAAACAAAAAATTTGTAGTTATTGTTTCTAATAATAAATGTATTAAATAAGAAAGGAAATTCAAAGCCACATTTTACAATATATATAGATTCCTAATTATATGCGAGGAATTATTTATTGCATAATTTCATGAGAAGCATCAATTGTGAAATAAAATTATGCGCTTTTATTTTTTTGTGCTAAAATCCATGTAAAATTCTCTTGATCAACCGTCCTTTTGCGAATAATAATTCTTGTGATTTGAAGAGCCGTTTAGCGATAAAAAGTAATCTCGAAAAATTAGGAATTTACAGAAAAGTGCATGACTAATGCCATTAAGATGCTATAACAAAAGTATTTGTACACAAATCTTTCAAAATGATATCATGGTAAATTTTTTTTTTAATTGAACAAATCTTTCCACCAACGACATGATCATTGACTATGCGTTAAGCTCCGAAGCTTCATAATTATCTCAAATATAACTTTTAAAACAAGAGGCCCATGGGCCACATCGCTCACCTGAGAAGCTTTGACAATTCTGTCCTTTACTAGATTTACCCCTAGTAATACATATTGTGACCCCACCCTACCCAACTGATCTTTATTTAGACAATTTAAAATCTACACTTCCCCAGGATGCTTCCATATAAGTTTCAGCTTTTCTGGCCCAGTTGCTATTAAGAAGAAGATTTTCAAAGATTTCTCCTATATATTTCTATGCAAAACTTTGATTCCCAATTGTGGCCCCACCCAATCCCCAGGGGTCATGATTTGTATAATTTAAAATCTTCACTATCCCTGGATGCTTCCACATAAGTTTCAGCTTTTCTGGCACAGTGGTTCTTAAGAAGAAGATTTTCAAAGATTTGTCCTATATATATTTCTATGTAAAACTTTGATTCCCCATTGTGGCCCCGCCCAACCCCCGGGGGTCATGATTTGTATAATTTAAAATCTTCACTATCCCAGGATGCTTCCACATAAGTTTCAGCTTTTCTGGCACAGTGGTTCTTGAGAAGAAGATTTTCAAAGATTTTTCCTATATATTTCTATGTAAAACTTTGATTCCCCATTGTGGCCCCGCCCAATCCCCGGGGGTTATGATTTTAACAATTTAGAATCTACACTACACCAGGATGCTTCCACATAAGTTTCAGCTTTACCGGCCCAGTGGTTCTTGAGAAGAAGATTTTCAAAGATTTTTCCTATATATTTCTATGTAAAACTTTGATTCCCCATTGTGGCCCCGCCCAATCCCCAGGGGTTGATTTGAACAATTTAGAATCTACACTATCCAAAGATGCTTCCACATAAGTTTTCGCTTTTCTGGCACAATGGTTCTTGAGAAGAAAATTTTCAAAGATGTTTCCTATATATTTCTATGTAAACTTTGATTCCCCATTGTGGCCCCACCCAATCCTCGGGGGTCATGATTTGAACAATTTAGAATATACACTACCCCAGGATGTTTCCACATAAGTTTCAGCTTTTCAGGCACAGTGGTTCTTGAGAAGAAGATTTTCAAAGATTCTTCCTATATATTTCTTTGTAAAACTTTGATTCCCCATTGTGGCCCTGCCCAATCCCCAGGGGTTATGATTTGAACAATTTAGAATCTACACTACCCCAGGATGCTTCCACATAAGTTTCAGCTTTTCTGGCTCAGTGGTTCTTGAGAAGAAGATTTTCAAAGATGTTTCCTATATATTTCTATGTAAAACTTTGATTCCCCATTGTGGCCCCGCCCAATCCCCGGGGGTTATGATTTTAACAATTTAGAATCTACACTATCCAAAGATGCTTCTACATAAGTTTCAGCTTTTCAGACACAGTGGTTCTTGAGAAGAAGATTTTCAAAGATTTTTCCTATATATTTCTATGTAAAACTTTGATTCCCCATTGTGGCCCCGCCCAATCCCCAGGGGTTATGATTTGAACAATTTAGAATCTACACTACCTTAGGATGTTTCCACATAAGTTTCAGCTTTTCTGGCACAGTGGTTCTTGAGAAATAGATTTTCAAAGATTTTTCTAATATATATCTATGTTAAACTTTGATTCCCAATTGTGGCCCCGCCCAATCCTCGGGGGTTATAATTTGAACAATTTAGAATCTACATTACCCCAGGATGCTTCCACATAAGTTTCAGCTTTGCTGGCCAAGTGGTTCATGAGAAGATTTTTTAATGACCCCACCCTATTTTTGTCTTTTCTTGATTATCTCCCCTTGCGAGGGGATATGTCCCTTCATTTTAACAATTTAAATTCCCCTTTACCCAAGGATGCTTTGTACCAAGTTTGGTCAAAATTGGCCCAGTGGTTCTTGAGAAGAAGTCGAAAATGTGAAAAGTTTACGGACGGACAGACGGACGGATGGACGATGGACACAATGTGATCAGAAAAGCTCACTTGAGCCTTTGGCTCAGGTGAGCTAAAAATGACTCTACATAGCTAGGAAGTTATAATTAGTTACCTACTATTTCAGTTTTGACCCTCCCCCCTGGCAAAATGCATTAATAAAATTTCATGTCTATGAATGACATAACTGCAAATTCATATAATTTTTATAAGAGGCCATGCTAACTCATTTTTGTTTTTTTGGCTGGTGTATACATTTACGAAACTATTTAGCTTGAGATTTGGATAGGAATAGCAGATTAATATCAAATTAGGTATATATGCATATGTGGTTTTACCACAATAACTCATGCCCGGTCATACTAGCAAAATTAAATCTATTCTAATAGGCCCAAACAATTTTCAGTTCAGGGACAACAACCAAACATTTTCAGTTCAAGGGCCTTACTAACCACCAAATATTCCTTGATAAGCAAACAGTATTATCAGAGGTTATCATTTAGAGGGCATAAGCATATACATGTAGTAGCTATACTTCCTATAGTATAATATATATGCATAATAAATCGAAGAGGGAGCACAAGCCATTACCCCCTCCTTCCTCCTTTTTAAATGTAGTAAAATGGCATAACAGTTACAGTATTTACATGACTAATTAATACTTCACAGCATTATATGAAATGGTTTCCCTTTATATGCTTATGTAAATGTTCTATATCCTAATATTATACTTTAATGTAAATTACTTGAATCTGATTGGTCGAGAAACATTTGTTAAAAAAAAACTTTTGCCCGCTGAATAATGAAGCCACGCCCTCTAGCGTAGCAACAGTCAACAGTGCTTGATGACGTGTGATATTCCAAATAAAGTGCCAGTCCACAGCTTGATACGCCCGACAAATTACAATTATTTTTAACAGTTAATTAGAGTGAAAGAAAATCATGTCAGCCTTAATTTTAACATTTCCATAATTTCTCTACTCCTTTAAATATTTGTTAATCCATCTCCAGTGGTTTAGGCATTAAATTAATTATAACAAATATTGCATCATTCATAAATTTTTACTGGTTGTGCTAGATCTTGTCAAAAGCCCATTATATTAAACAATATCAAATTAGTCTTAACAACTTAATCTATACCAAATTAATTTTGAAAATAAAAGGCTAGCCATCAAATGATATATGCTATACAGTATAAACTGACCAACAGTTCTTCTAATTACCATAGCATACAGATAAGACTGTCGGATCAGAGATGGTCTAAAGCAGAAATGATTGAGACAGCTAACCTTCCTACATTGAACACATTAATATATCTTTAACTGGAAGCTTGTTTACTCATTACCCGAGAGATTATTTGATCTTCACTATTTACCATAAAACATTTTATTACGTATATGTTTATGTTTAAAACTTAAAACATAAATGATTTTTTTTAGATTTAATGTCAGACAAATTTTAAATGCAATTCTTATGAACATGCTGATTCCATCCCCATCCCCATGAAATTAGTTTTTAATTAGTTCATAATATCATACATCAGAATAGTTTAACATGCAAAATCAAATTAGTGTCAACTATTTTTCATCTAATTCATTTTAAAACTTAAGCTAGCCAACAAAATGAACAGCTATTTTTAATCAAACAGGCTAATCCATTTGCCCAATTCCCTGATTCTAAGTCTAATAGTGTTTTAGTTATGGGCCGGAAAGGACTTTTCCATATTTGGCTGTATCTTTTAAATTATAGGTCAGAGCGACCTACTTTTCTACGCGACACACCATCTACCAAAGATGTATCAGCTGACAAAGTTTGATAACTCTAGGCCTTATAGTATTAAAGTTATAAGCCGGACATGAGAAAAACTAACCGACGGACAGACAGATGGAAATGAAACCAATAACATAATACATAATATGTCCCGTCTTAAGACGGGCGTATAAAAATGGCAACTGCACAGAATTCATATTTATATATTGTTGTTTGCACATTTGCTGGAGGGATGGAGGATCAGGATTTGAATTGCCTTGAGTCTACATTATCTGACAATGCCACCATAACAAATTTTATTTGGTGTGGAAATATTTATAAAGCTCCTTCCTATCTATTTCTCTGTTAAAGATTGTAATGGGAGGTCCTACATGTACTTTGTACAAAGTTTAACATAAATCTTTACTCACTAAGGACACTTCACACTTCAGACAATTAACAAATTATGACTTTGTTGTTTTTCAAGATGTTTTCTAAATATTATGCATTATTTAAATTGTGGTTTACGGTGTCATCCATCCTCTTACATCATTTTATCTATATAGTTGCCAGGATAGTATTGGATGTGTCTTTAGTGATATAACCAATTGTAGCATTGCAGTTTTTGAGTAGCAATCTTTTATTATACATGTATATTATTATGTAAAACTTCATTGCAACCCCGGGCTAGACCTAGTCATGATTTGAACACATGTGAATTAACAATACATATCACAAAAGATGTTTGTAAAAGACATTTGTCCCCCTACCCCAAAAATTGGAATTTTCCGAAGTCCAAAAGGAAATAACTCTGTCAAAAAGGGTGCAATCATACCCAAAACATAACTTGGCCTAGATATTCATATAACTAATCTGTATACTAAATTACATTTCAATATGTGCAA